GTGGATAGATACAGAATCATTTGTAAGTTTGTACTTACTTACTTACTTACCTACTTACTTACTTACTTACTTACTTACTTACTTACTTACTTACTTACTTACTTACTTACTTACTTACTTACTTACTTACTTACTTACTTACTTACTTACTTACTTACTTACTTACTTACTTACTTACTTACTTACTTACTTACTTACTTACTTACTTACTTACTTACTTACTTACTTACTTACTTACTTACTTACTTACTTACTTACTTACTTACTTACTTACTTACTTACTTACTTACTTACTTACTTACTTACTTACTTACTTACTTACTTACTTACTTACTTACTTACTTACTTACTTACTTACTTACTTACTTACTTACTTACTTACTTACTTACTTACTTACTTACTTACTTACTTTTCTACTCTTGTTATCCTTCATAAATATTTATACCCTACCCACCAGTATTCTCCATCCAACTCTCTCTTGGATAATCTCTTCTAGTTATCTCCAGTTGTTATTCATCCTTTTTGTGTTTGCTTTCAATTGCTGACTCAGTGTGTTTTTTGGCTTTCTTGCTTTCTGTTTCTCTTCAGCATTATAAGTAAGCGCTTACTTCGTAATATATCATAAACGGTGTATGTAAATACAATATGAAGTTATCCTTTTCAAAATGTAAATCGCATTAACGGAGATTGATCATATATGTATCATTGAATATTACCAATTAGATAGTACAAACTCTTTTAAATTAATGTTTGATAGTTTTTTTTAATGTAAGGAGATGATTGTATATCAGTCTTATTAATTAATTAGTAATTCTAAGTAAATATTTAATGCCTTAAAACAAAGTCATTGAGAATATCTGAACTCAAAAGTGTTATAACTTGTAACCTTGGGTCCTATATATATATATATATGACGTAATGATACCGCCAATTAGAGAACAGTGATTGATCGACTGGACTAATGACACATAAAACCCGTACAAGCAGTCCACAGTCCTTAACGTTCCTGCTTCCTGCCTAACCCTGTCTGTTAAGTTCAGAACACCGATCTCAGCCTCTGAAATATGAACCATGTATTCCAAACATACTACGTTTATATACAAACCAAACAGACCACATCACACCATAAAATAGAAAATAACATTTATAAAAGTTCTAGCCAAAAGTGACTGTGAATGTGGGAGTCTGTAATTGATCGATTGGACATAACTCAAGAATGGTTAATCGTCTATGGGTTAAAATAAAACTTATAATAAGAGGAACACAAATATGAATGTTACTTATGTATCGTATTGGTTCAGAAATAGATTCGAACAGTTACTATTCATCCTTCATACAACTTGAATATATTTCACATGTTATTATAATTGGATGACTGAACATTAAGTTATTCAGAGTTTTCTATTGATTATTTTCAACTAGTTATTATAATGGAACCAGATTATCTGCATATGACATTATCCTTAACCTTTAGACTGTATAATAAGTATGCTGTATTTAGTACTTTAGATCATTTATGTGAATGCATCGCATATAACAGTGTGTCAGTCAGTCAGTCAGTAACAACGTAGAACTTAGTACGTACGTACATCAGTTCGAGTTGCCATACCACATTAACACAGAGATGCAGTGGTCGATTCGGTCGGGATATAATAGTGTGTAGTATTTTTTTAACTAAAATATTGATTTCAAGAGTTTAGAGTTACATAAAACTATCTGCTATAAGTCAGTCAGTCAGCTACAACGTAGGACCAGGCACATATATGCATCGATTCAAGTTGCCATATCTCATTAGCAAAACAAGATGAACACCGGATTCATAGGAGTGGTTAAGTCAATGGTGGTAATGTATAAAAGAAAGATTTCATATAAGGATATAGTATAGGAAGAAAGAATTAGTTTGTAGAAAGAAAGATATAATGCAATTTTAATCTCATAGTTTAAGGGAAGGCAAAGAGAGTATACACTCATGCAATTGTGATAAATTCTGAGCCATGTCACCCACAGTCTCCAACCGTTGGTTACGATAGTCACACGGACACCAACCAAGTAGTCTGCATCTACTGCATCTACATGTCTGTGGAGCATAGACGAAAATTCTGTACTAAAACAAAGATAGTCTCTTTCATACACAAGACTTGCCTAGTAAATGAATAGAATATATCTGAAATTTTTTTATTGAGATCATGAACCGATTGACGTTAGACCACCTTTAGAAACCTGAAAGCACTGGACGGCCGTTTCATCCTATTGTGGGACTCCTAAGCACTGCGCATCCACGATCCCGTGAGCGGGATTCGGACCCAGGGCCTTCAGTCTTGCGCGCGAACGCTTAACCTACTGGACCACTGAGCTGACATGCAGTGGTGATAGTGTCTAACATCAACCAATCCATGAAATTACGCGACCAACTTCCATTGTACTTAGGTAAATACCTGTCTCTACCCAACATGGATTAGCTCAACCGGTCACGGCTTCTCACTAGAACTGTAAGAATTCCCTCACGAAGCTAGTCACAAGTGAGCACATGTTGATTACTAGTATAGGGGTTATGGAGATTATTAAGTTTTTTTATTGAGATCATGAACCAATTGATGTTAGACCATCTTTGGAAACCAGTCCGTTCAGTACTTCCAGGTTTTCAAAGGTGGTCTAACATCAATCGGTTCATGATCTAAATAAAAAAGAACTTAATAATCTCCACAACCCCTATACTAGTCTATCTGAAATTACAAGAGATCAGACATTTATTGAATACTGAAAATATTGTAGAATACGTCGACAATTATTATTAGACGATTAACTTCTATGAAAATTCTTTATTTCATCCATTTTTTTCTAGACAAAAGCAAATTATGATATGACATGTAACATGATATTCTTTCAATCAAAATATCAACTTATTACGGATTTAGACATTAACATCATCGGATACCGGTATAGTGATCTGGAAGCTTAGCGTTTACACGCCTGATCGAAGGTTCTTAGTTCGAGTCCTGAGGGCAAGATCATGGATATGCACTACTGAAGAGTTCTTATACTAGGACGAAACAACCGTCCATGTCTCCTATGATGGTTTAGCTTTAATTAACTCATTTTCACATCTCTCCCTCCCTCTCTGTATGTGTGTGTGTTTGTGTAGCTGACGAATTTCTTCTTGGAAAATAATAAACCTACTTAATAAGGTTTTGATATTAATTCATGAACTGATTCAATTTAGGTTATGTATTAAAATGAAAATTGTGTCCTTTTAATGGAAAAAACAAAAAAAATAAATAAACGTCAAGACCTATTAGGATCAATATTGACCAACAACACTAAAACTGTTCCAGTACATGAAAATATACATTTAGGTCGAAAGTAATTTACTTGGGTTGTATACCTATATAACTCAATAAAAGGATAAAGAAGGGAAATATGTATATATATGATCACCTAATTGTTCATTAATGGAATTGATGATTTAACTTACGTGACAGTGTATGCTGTTTGTTTGTTTGTTTTTCAAGTTGCGGTTAACCTCATCAAGTATATTGTTAACAGCTTTTTCAGTTTTTATTTTTGTGTGTAAATTATAGAAAGGGGGAACTAATCGAATGATAAATAGGTCATGTTAAACTATAAAACTATATTGCCCCAACAACAACAACAAAAATATTTAGATTGATTATTTTGTAAAATCTCAACAAAATCCCTTCTGATATTAATCAGTATATGATCACTAATGACTGACTACAAGAGGTATTTCATGGAGTTCTAGTGAGAAGCAGTGATCAGTGGAGTTCAACCGGGTCTGTCGTGAGATAGTAGCCCACTGATGACAGTGTTGGATGTGTGGCTCAATTTCATGGATTAGTTGAAGTTAGACACTAACACCGCTGGATGCCGGCCAGCTTAGTGGTCTAGTTGTTAGGCGCTCGTGCGCGAGACTGATAGGTCCTGGGTTCGAATCTCACGGAGAGCGGGATTGTGGATGTGCACTACTGAGGAGTCCTATAATAGTGCAATGTCTCCAGGTTTTCCATGGTGGTCTAGCTTCAGTTGACTCATGGTCCCAACTATTAAGATTCTCGGAAATTGTTAAGCGAGAAAGATGAAAATTAAATAATTCTCTAGAATATCTTAGTATGTGTTAAGATATCAGGTAAATAAAGATGGTATTCTTTAAGTATTTACATTCAAATATTACTTACTTATGCCTGTTATCCCCAATAGAGTATGGGCCACCGACTAGCATTCTGCAATCCACTTTGTCCTGGGCCTTCCTTTTCAGTTCTATCCAATTGTTGTTCATTTTTCTCATGTCTGTCTCCATTTCTCGGTGTAATGTGTTCTTTGGTCTTCCTCTTCTCCTTTACCTTTGAGAAATATTCAAACATTAGAAATACTAAAACCAATGCTAAAATTAAATATATTTGGATAGTATTCCTTAAAGCAATAAGATCTTGTGACTCAATTGAAGCGCTAGCTTAAATTCTTGAATCTCTTACTTCTAACCCATAGTAGGGCAATGATACTCGAACACTGTTGGGGAGATCCATTCATTGACTGGAAAATCATATTAAGTTTATATTTGTCATAGATTGATAACAACTTGGAGATTATTAAGTATCAACGGTTGCAGGACAGCTGGTTGGTCTTGAATTGAAACAACTCAGTTGTATAGATATATAGTTCCATCAAGGTATTGAAACTAGAATTTCATAAAGAGAACTAATTTAAAATTAAATTAATGTCCATGACACTTTATTTATTTATTTTTTTGATTGAGATCATGAACGGATTGATGTGAGACCACCTTTGGATACCTCGAAGTACTGGTGGGCCGTTTCGTCCTGTTGTGAGACTCCTCAACAGTGGCCATCCACGATGGTCTAACATCAATCGGTTCATGATCTTAATCAAAAACTTAATAATCTCCACAACCTCTACACTTTATTTATGTTTTATACTTTTAAAGTTAATTTTTACATTACTTCTTTGGTATATATATTTACAGGTATGATAGTTGGTGCAATGTGTGCAATTACTGGTGTTATGACTATCTCTCTTCCAGTTCCTGTTATTGTATCAAATTTTTCACGTTTTTATACACATACACAAGCTCAATCTAAACTTCCAAAACGTAGAAGACGTATTTTACCAGTTGAAGCAGTTCGACCAAAAACTTTTAGTCAAGTTCCACCACTTAATTCTTCAGTAAAATTAAAAAATAATTTTAGTGTTATACCACCTGGATTAGCACGTAATTTCAATTCATCAAATGATTCACCTATACGATTATCATCAACTGGTGAAAGAAGACATCATTTTCCAGATACAACTTGTAAAATAACAGGTAAATTATTTCTTAATGTTTGTACTGAAATATAACACAAAATCTTTATGCTTGAACCTGAATATAGTAATTCCGTTTAGAGTAAAAAGACATATATATATATACATTATATGGCGCTTGGAGATAGTCGACAGGAAACCCTGGACCCGAGTTTCGTCCTACTTGGCACTCGTTAGCAACGTGTACTTGCAATCCTGAGGGAACTAGTGCTCTCTGGCAGATCCGGTCCCGTGCCACCCAGCTTCACAGTCAGGGACGTTACCACTGAGTTATCTGAGCCGTGACTAACCTCCTGTAGGACTGAGATGTAATCACAATTGATTGATCACTGGGTGGTGACCAATGTCATGTGTATCAAGTCCTTATTATTAGTGCAGATCGAATGCTATCGATCATGTTGCAATGTGGCCACCAGTCTAGGTGACTCGACACTGCGGGCACTATGTATTGAGATTAGATGGTGGTTGGAGGTAGTCGACAGGAAACCCTGGACCCGAGTTTCGTTCTACTTGGCACTCGTCAGCAAGGTGTACCTGTAATCTTGAGGGAACTAGTGCTCCCTGGCGGATTCGATCTCGTGTCACCCAGCTTCACAGTCAGGGACGTTACCACTGAGCTGTCCGGGCCGCGATCGACTTCCTGTAGGACTGAGATGTAATCACAATTGATTGATCACTGAGTCCAGGGTTTCCTGTTGACTACCTTTAACCATCATCTAATCTCAATATATAGTGCACGCAGTGTCGAGTCACCTAGACTGGTGGCCACATTGCAACATGATGGATAGCATTCGATCTGCACTAAATAAGGACTTGACACACATGACATTGATCACCACCCAGTGGTCAATCAACTGTGACATATATAAAGACAAATAAGTATTTTACACGTTTCTGGAAAGGTAGATACCATACTAGCAGTTCAGTTTAAGACTTAGAAGTTCGGTGTCCGACCATTGACAAGGTTATAGATACGTATTACTGCGGAGGCCCATATAAGGACTTATTAGTTGCCCAGTTCTTCATAGTTTATAATGGAACTATAACTGAAGTTGATCGCTGACGAATGCTATCTATCATTTAAATCAGTCTTTAAAAAGGAAGTCTTCATATAGAATTAATGAATTGAATTTGTTTCGACATGGTTACATGAGTCTTAAGTACCTTCACTTTCACTAGTGTTATGTTGTGTTACCATTGCAAGATCTCAACATTTTCCCAGTTGAATGTATGTATCATTCTCTTGAAAACCTCTCACTTCATATTAATTGTTATTTGAAACTAAGGAAAATAAAACGTTGAACAGTTGTTGACTAACATTCAAATGATCACGATATTCATCATGGAATGTATCGTTATGAAAAGAGTGAAAAGTGAAAATATATTGATCGTAAAAAGAAAATTACGTAATATTATTGATTATTATAATTTTGGTTACGTGTCATGGTATTTATCTAAAACATTTGTTATATGAGATGGTGGAGAAGATTTGTAGCTCAGGTGGATGATTTTGGTGGAGTTTTGTTCTCTGAGCTGGATGGTTTGGTCGTGTTCCAGCTCATCCTTTTTGACGATGACGAAAGTGTCGTCTACATAGCGAATCCAAAGTTTTAGCTTGATCACTGGTAGTATCGCGGCTTCTAGTCTTTGCATCACTGCCTATGCGATCAGTCCTGATATTGATGATCCCATTGGTGTCCGTTTCGTTTGTTCGTGGATTTTGTTGTTGAATTGAATGTTGTTAGGCATAAATCGATGAGTTCCAGTAGACTTTGAATTGGAAGCTTCGTGTGTTTAGTGAGATTTGTGTCATTGTTGAGCAGCAGGGATATAGTTTCTTTTGACCAAACCATCCACTTCAGAGAACAAAACTCCACCAAAAACATTTGTTATATCCCGATGTGAATAATGAATGGTAAGTTTTGGGATTTATTTCTGGACTAATGATATACGTATATTTTTATTGTATAATTGTTAAGTGACTAAACTATTCGTATTCATGTTCCTCTTATCATAAGCTTTATTTTGACCTATGAACTGTTATTATACGATTTTCCATTCTTGAATTATACCCAGTCTGTCAGTTACTACCTCTCATATTCACAGCCACTTTTGGCCAAATCTTATAGAGATGTTGTTTCCCATTTTATGCTACGATGTGGTCTGTCTGGTTGGTATATGAACCTAGTATGTTTGAAATATAATGATTCATATCTCATAGGCTGCGATTGATGTTCTGCACTGAATAGGCAGAGCTAGGAAGGAAGCAGAACCGATAAGGGCTGTGGACTGCTCGTACGTGTTTATGCGTCATTGATCCAGTCGATAAATCACTGTTCTCTAATTGGTGTTATCATCATGTTATACATCGACAGGGCACACAGGGCATAAGTTATAACAAATTAATAAGAATGAGCATAGTTTTATTGAAGAAAATTTTCTTATTATTGATTTCATTTCATGAGGCTAAACAATCATCTATTATGTTGTGTGTTTTAGGCCAGTTTAATATGATGTGACTTATTCACCAATCGGAATACGTCTTATACAATCTTAGTAATGTGTTAAACCAATGATGTTCGACTGGTATGAGCAGCCTAATGTCCTTATTGATCCCTTATTGTATTGTATCTTTCTATTGTTATTTGGGACTGCAGTTGATCAGTCTCATATTGGCATATGTGCATCCTGTGTGGATTGCCTCTATATAGTCTTAAGTTACAAGCTTTTTAAGCAAAGATGGATAGTAGGTAACAATCGAATCCAGTTTGACGGGCATTTCGTCGGATTTCAGACTTGTCACCTAGATGTACCTGCATCTCGTAGTTGATGTTCACTCCGGGACTCGAACCCAGTACTGCTCGTTTCAAACGCCATCTCGTTATCCACTTAGGTACGGAGTCCTTTGTGAACATCAACTCTGAAATGCAGGTACATCCAAATAAGACGAAACGTGCGTCCTGGATTTCACTACTATCCACTATCCATCTTTGCTTAGATATTTCAGTTTTAGGAAAAAAACGTTTAACGATTGGCCTAACAAAGTCAATAAGTAGTATAGTGGTACGTCGATGGATTGAACTGATGACTGAGCTTTACTACAATTACAATGAAGATGAAAATGTAGACAAATATATTTCAAATCAATAATTTAAAAATGTCACGTCTATAATGAAATAAATAAAGATTCTTTTTACGATTCCGGTTAATAGTTGTTAAGGGGTAACAAAAACGTTTCTACCATTCATTTACTATTCTTCTGTTTAGATTACAATAATAACAATCTTGACTGTATTACGCAACAGCAATTTCTTTTTTATTAACTTCCATTATGGGTAACTTGTGTCAACTATAAATGGACTAATGCTATGCATATATTCTCATGGTATAACTATTCAGTAATTAGATTGTGTATATTCATTCATTGGCCGGATGCCATCAGTAACAGCCTTTCGTGGGAGAGAACAAACCAGCTTCCAGCTGAAGAGGAAGTTAGAAAGCGACGATTGAAATGGATAGGACATACATTATGCGAATCATCATCTATAGACTATTATGATATGATTGACTGTTCTTAAATTATACTCAGTTTATTGATTACAGTCTCACAACGATCACTCTCACGACCACTTTTTGACTTGATCTTGTATAAAAGTTCTTTGTTATTTGATGATGTGATGCGATGTATTTGTCTGATATATAAACCAAGTATGTTTGAAATGAATGAATCACATAATGGAAGCTGTTATTGACGTTCTGGATTCAAATGAACGGGGTCTAGGCAAACAGTACTTACTAATACTTACGCCTGTTACTCCTCGTGAAGGAGCATAGGCCGCTCACCACCATTCTCCATCCAACCCTGTCATGAGCAATCCTTTCCAGCTCCTTCCAGTTCCTATTCATCCTTTTCATATCTGCTTCTATTATCCGACGTAATGTGTTCTTTGACCTTCCTCTTCTCCGCTTCCTTCTAGGACTCCAAGTTAGGGCTTACCTCGTGATGTAGTTTGATGATTCGCATAATGTATGTCCTATCCATTTCAATCGTCGCTTTCTAACTTCCTCTTCAGCTGGAAGCTGGTTTGTTCTCTCCCACGAAAGGCTGTTACTGATGGTATCCGGCCAATGGATGTTGAGTATCTTGCGTAGACAGTTATTTATAAATACTTAAACTTTCTTGATTGTGGTTGTTGTAGTTCTCCAAGTTTCAGCTCCATACAGTAGAACTGCCTTGACGTTCGTATTGAAGATTCTTACTTTGATATTGGTTGAAAGTTGTTTTGAGTCCCATATGTTCTTCAATTGTAGGAACGCGGCCCTTGCTTTGCCGATCCTCGCCTTTACGTCTGCATCTGAGCCTCCTTGTTCATCGATGATGCTTCATAGGTATGTGAAGGACTCTACATCTTCCAGAGTTTCGCCATCAAGTGTGATTGGATTGCTGTTTTCTGCTTTGAATTTGAGGACCTTAGTTTTCCCTTTGTGTATGCTGAGGCCTACTGATGCAGAGACTGCTGCTACACTGGCTGTCTTCATCTGCATCTGTTCGTGTGTACGTGATAGGAGGGCTAGGTCATTTGCGAAGTCCAAATCGTCTAATTGATTCTGAGCTGTCCATTGTATTCCGTGTTTTCCGTCAGATGTCGAGGTCTTCATAATCCAGTCGACCACAAGAAGAAAGAGGAAGGGAGAAAGTAAACAGCCTTGTCTGACTCCGGTCCTTACTTGGAATGTATCTGTCAGCTGTCCTCCATGCACTACTTTGCACTGTAGTCCGTCGTATGAGTTCCGGATAATATTGACAATTTTCTCAGGAACTCCGTAGTGTCGAAGAAGTTTCCATAATGTCTTACAATAAGGGATCAATAAAGATATTAGGCTGGTCATACCAGTCGAACATCATTGGTTTAACACAGTATTAAGATTGTATAAGTCATATCCTGACTGGCGAATAAATTTGCTAGGTTTGAAGCGGTTACGAGTTCACTTAGACTGCAAAAGGAACAATGACTCGTGACCAAAGACCAATAAACTAGCTATTCTATTACATCCTAGCCCAGCTAACCAGAGAGAGAAGTCGAAATCCAAACGGGGAACTATATTCCACAAAAAACCAGAAGCATGAGCGAGCGATAACAACAGACACAAATCAAAATGTATATATACAGCACAAAACTGTCATTGGGAAGCGTTACAAAATTGCATACTAAAAGACACAAAGGACCAATAGCATTTAAGATTCTCACAAATGGGAAATACGACATAAAGGTGAAAATGAGCGCTTTTAGAGCGAAAACAAAGAAATTCAATTTTTCAAAATAAAATTACAATATTGGGTCCTTTTCCAAATAGGTTCTGGGGATCTAACGTCCCCAACAAAACCACATGATAACTAAATGGCCTTCAAATCATAACAGCCATAGCGGCTATGAAATCTTCAATATTGAACTATTCATCTTAAACTTACTTACTCACTTACGCCTGGTACTCCTCGTGAAGGAGCATAGGCCGCTTAACAGAATTCTCCATCCAACCCTGTCCTCAGCAATTCTTTCCAGCTCCTTCCAGTTGTTATTCATCCTTTTCATATCTGCTTCTATTTACCGACGTAATGTGTTGCTTGCCTTCCTCTTTTCCACTTTCCTTCACGATTCCAAGTTAGAACTTGCCTCGTGATGCAGCTTGATGATTTGCCTGATATATGTCCTATCCACCACTTCCAACGACTTTTCCTAATTTCCTCTTTAGATGGAAGCTGATTTGTTCTCTCACACAGTTGGTTGTTGCTGATGGTATCCAGCCAACGGATGTTGAGTATCTTGTGTAGACAACTATTTATAAATACTTGTATCTTCTTGATGATGGTTATAGTAGTTCTCCAAGTTTCAGCTTAATATAGTAGAACTGCCTTGACGTTCATATTAATGATTCTCACTTTGATATTGGTTGAAAGTTGTTTGGAGTATTCATCTTAAACTATTTCACACTGTTAGAATCGTTCAATTAATAAATTTCTTATTGTTTATTCATTTCTTCATTTGACAACTTTTTTTTTATTATAGAATTTCTATACTACTCAAAAAAAATTCATTTCAGACAATTTTCACCTTGTATAATATTGATTCCATATGTTTTTTATTTAATGAGATTTACAAATAGTTGCTAGGTTGGTTGGTTGGTTGCTTGGTCGGTTGGTAGGGTGGGTGGTTGATTGTAACCTTTTTATTCTTTCTTAAATGATTTTAAAGAAAATATTCAAAAGATTGCGGAATAATGTAGTTTTTTCTTAATATAAATGTATGTTAAAGCGGAAACGGTTAGACAAAAGTCTACATATATAACTTGTCATAATTCTCAACTGAACATTGTGTATTAATACAACTTGTACAACTGGTTGTCATTTGTTTTCCGTCTTATTTTCTTCTTTTTTTGTAACTATGACTTTGCTTTTTGTTGTTCTTGTTGTTGTTGTTGTTGAGGATGCTGTGTGAATGTTAAATTTCATTATTGTGAGTTGACCTACTCAATGTGCATTTACGAATTCATCTGCTCCTGTAGAGATAGTTATATTAGCCGTACTACCAGGCAATTTAACCAACGAATGAGTGAACATCTACCAGTATGGTTTATGAGTTGCTTACTTACTTATGCCTGTTACTCCAAGTGAAAGAGTATAGGTCGTCCATCATCATTCTCCATCCAAAACTGTCCCCGGTAATCCTTTCCAGTTATTTCTAGTTGTTATTCATCCTTTTCATATCTGCTTCTATTTATCGACAACATGTGTTCTTTGAACTTCCTCTTTTCCACTTCCCTTCAGGATTACAAGTTAGCACATGCCTCATGACGCAGATTGATGATTTGCCTAATGTATGTCCTATCCACCACTTCCAACGACTTTTCCTAATTTCCTCTTTAGATGGAAGCTGATTTGTTCTCTTCCACAGAAGGCTGTTGCTGATGGTAGAAGAATTTTCTATAATATTCTCCTATCTACACTTTCGAACGCATTTTCACGAATGATAAAGCTGATTGTTCGACGATGATCCATAGTGTCACAATTTGATCTGTGAACGATCGATCCTTACGGAATTCAGTCAGTTGATCTCAAAGTTGGGCGTATTTCATCCGGTTCAGCAACATTCTGTTGAGGACTTTCCTTGGTTCTGACAGTAGTTTGATGCCTCTGTAGTTTTCATATCTGCTCAGGTTTCCTTTCTTTGGAATCTTGATGAGGTATCCTTCTGTATCTAACCTCTGTTGTCCAGCCTTGGTCAAATGGGTTTCGCTGATTCCCAGTACTTCCAATTTGTATCTCCCCATTTCCATTGCTATTTGACTGGTCTTCCCGGTTTCCCGAATTTTCCGAATGTTCCATGTGCCTATAAAAATCTTTGCTCTGGTTGTTAGAAGAGGCATCAGCCTCCTGATTTCTAAAGGGACTCAGCTTTCACCATGAGGCGTCATAGTTCTTCTAAATGAAAGCCTTCTAAATCCCAGGGCAGAGTTTAAATGATTTGAATTATTTTTTTCTGGTTAGCGTTTTTTTAGCGAGTTAGTTTTCTACGGGATGGGTTCGCTAACCTCATGCCCAACCCTCCTCCTTTACCCGGGCACGTGACCGACAGTAACTCTGGAAGAGATACAGGCGGAGTTCATGATTAGAGTAAAGCCTGATGACGATATAATTGAAATTAATATTGTTCGCTTACATGTATTATTCTAATTTTTTTGTATTTATTTATTCCTAACAATTAGATAATTCATCTAATGAACAAACCATTCTTAAACCATTAATACCAAGACGTGAAGAAATTCCATTATTACCTAGGGACAATTTATCACAATATCAAGCATCTATGAATTGGCCAAAATCATCTACTATTAAAGAAACATCAACTGAATTCATTTCACAAACATCATTAGAAACAAATTGTTTATTAATAAATAATGAAGAAAAAGATCAAGTCGCATTAAAACAATCTAATAAACATCAATTATTTGATAATATAATTGGTAATACAAATATAGTCAATCGTATAGAGGAGGAAAATAGTTATAATAATACTGGAGATATTAAAGATAATGTTAAAAATCAATATTTACCAATATCTAATGTTAGTTCCAATACATTGATCGAGAAAAATTATAAACTATCAAAGAATACTACTAACAATAATATAAGTAGTAAAACGAATAATGATGAAATTTCCTATTCAGAAAATATTAAATTATCATATATAAATTATAAAACACCATGTTTTTCATTTGATGAACATAATAATATAGAAGGAGAGAATTATTTACCATCCGATAATAGTTTAAATCAATTAGAAGAACTACTGACATTACGTAATAGTAATAATCAATATGAAATTACACCACCACGTTTATCATGTGTATCTGGGGATAAATTAGAAATGAAATTTATTACGGGTTCAAATGCACCAATATAATTTCTATTGTAGGGTATGGATGTACGTTTGTATATATATATATATATATATATATATATATATATATATATATATATATATATATATATATGGATTGGTATAATTATACTACTTATTAATGAAAAGCCATAGAATTGTGTATTTTGTAACCAAGCAACAATAGGCAATTCATCATTATTATTATTATTATTATGTAATACATCCTTGTTAGGAATGATTGGATGAAACGATTGAAGAGATTCATTTATTAGATGCTTATTTGCAACAACAAGAACAACAGCAACAACATTAACAGCAACAAAAATGACAGAAAGGAAACACATTTGAACAGTGATTTAACTTATTCTATCGTCTATAAAACTATGATGTAATTATATCAAGTAATGCTTTGTAATGTATTCAATGAGTAATGAAAAAACAAAACAATGTATATTTTAATCAATACTTTATATGACATTATTATTCATTAAAGTTGAAAAAAAATGAGCATAAAAGGGGTTTTGTGAATATTTTAGTAATTTATTTAATAGTTAAGAACATGATTCAGTTGAAGTTGGATCACTATGGAAAACCTGAAAGTACTAGATGATCGTTTTGTCCCAGTGTTAGACTCCTCAGTAGTGTGTATGCACAAACCCAGTTCGTGAAATTCGAGCAGAGGATCTATCAGTGTCCTGCGTGAACGCTTCAACTCTAACCAGCCGGCATCCATGGGTGTTAATGTCTAACTTCAACCAATCCACAATTGTCATCAGTGAGTTACTATCTGACAACAGACCAGGTTGAACTCCACTGGTGACTGCTTCTCATTAGAACTTTAGGAAATACCTCTTAAATTCAGTCACTAGTAAGCATATGTTGATTAATGTCAAAACGTGAATGGTTAGTTAAGTCGCTTCATTTTTTTACATAAATTATGAAGTACTAAAAAGAAACAGTTTTGTTTTCATCTTTTGCTAAAATGTAATTCAAAAAGAGTATTGTTATAACTTATGAATCTGTGTGCTCTGTTTATTGTATAACACAACGATACCCCCAATCAGAGAGCAGCGAATTATCGATCGAACCAGTGACGATAAAATTATACGCATAGAGTTGGTCCATAAATGGATGCCAAAAATTACCATTCATTATTCTTATCGAGATATAACTAGTGTTTCTTCAGAAAGTGGGGTTTCACTATTCTAAATGAAACCAAACTTATTCGTTTGCTTAAATATCAATATTTGAAAAAACACTGGGAAGATTTGAATTTCACAGATGACTTAGCCCTACTATCCCATACACACGAACAAATGTAGATGGAGACAATTAGTGTAGAAGCAGCTTCTGGATCATTAGACCTCAGTATATACAAAGGAAAAAGCAATATCCTCAAATACAACACAGAAAACATCAATCAAGCCAATCACACTTGATAGGGAAACTCCGAACTAAGTGGAAAAGTTCCCGTATATGAAATGGTCAGCATAATCGATGAAAAAAGAGGATCAGATGTAGACGTAAAGGCGAGGATTGGTAAAACAAGGGCCGCATTCTTACAATTGAAGAACGTATGGGACTCAAATCAACTGTGAACCAATATCAAAGTCAGAATTTTTAATACGAAACCCATGACAGTCCTACTATACGGAGCTGAAACGTGGAGAACTAATACAACAATCATCAAGGAATTACAAGTATTTATAAATAGCTGTCTATTCAAGATACTCAACATCCATCGGCCGGATATCATCAGCAACAATCAACTGTGTGACACAACAAACCAGCTTCCATCTAAAGAGGAAATTAGGAAAAGTCGTTGGAAGTGGTGGATAGGACATACATTACGAAAATCATCAAACTGCGTCATGAGGCATGTGCTAACTTGTAATCCTGAAGGGAAGCGCAAAAGAGGAAGTTCAAAGAACACATTACGTCGGTAAATAGAAGTAGATATGAAAAGGATGAATAACAACTAGGAAGAGCTGGAAAAGATTGTCCAGGACAGGGTCGGATGTAGAATGGTGGTGGTCGGCCTATGCTCCTTCACGTGGAATAACAGGCGTAAGTATTACAGCAGTTAATGTTTGAGTGACGAACTCTTGGAGTTCTGGCGAGAAGTCATTACCTGTGGAGTCCAATCATATAGGGGATGTGTGATAGTTCTCCGATACATGTGGTAGGAGATGATTGCGTTTTATCTCAAACTAATTGAAGTTAAAGATGCAAAGAACTAGATACCAGCTTAGTGGTCTATAGGTCCAGCGCTCATTGCAGAACCTGAAGGTTTTTGTATTCGGTTCCTGGCTGTGGATTTTAAATGGTCACTGATGAGTCCTATTCTAAGGAAACAGTCATCCAGTGCTTCCTGGTTCTTAATGCGGTCTAACTAAAAACAGATCGTGATTACAACTATGAAATTAATTGTTTGTAAATTTATAACTTTGATATTGAAAGTAGTTCGAGACAACCAATAATAGTGATGAAACTAAAGATTTGGATGTTTGTTATTCTAAATGCGTTAAATCGAATATCATGAGCAAGTGTAGTAAACGCAACTCATAAGATTGTTCGTTGATAACATGTAGTGGAACGTTTTGTCAAGTTTTCAACAATTGTCGGATACAGTGAAAAGTTTCAGTACATCTAAAGCATAGCTTAAGCAGAACACTTGGAAGTTAGTTGAGAAGATAGTTCAGATTGCAAAACACATAGGAAGATTAAAATGAACGAATGAAGGCTGTGCATACGTATTATGTAAATAGTTTGTAACTTCTCGCGAACAAGATGCATACGTTCTGCCTGTTGTCGCCTTTTACACAAGTCCTTACATTCCACGATCATAATAAAAATACTTTAAGTATTTCTTACATCATGAACAGATTTTGGTTAGACAACTATTGAAATCCAGAGAATATTGGAAAGCCGCTTCATCCTAGAATGGGACTCCTGAACAGTTGACACTCATGAGTGTGAAGATGCCACAGGTATATGGAGTTTGACAACGCTTTACCTAGTAACACCTACTATGAATCGTACCCACCAAGTGAAATCAAAAGACAGAAGCGAGGAGGTTCAAAGATATATTTGATAGGCTATCAATATATTGAGAATCGACTGATCTAGATTGGCTAGCGATTTCAGGGGTTAATGAGCACGGCGTTTCCACTCGTGATCTGGTGCGGATGCATGACCGAGTGCCTTCAGCTAAGTGAGTCCATTAAAACTAATATGGTCAGCATCCAATATTGAAGACTTACAAAGCTATTTATTTTGGGGATTTATTTACCGTTACAAGTGTATGACCTTTGTTGTGACGTGTGAACGCTTAATCACTAGACTATTGAATCAGTATCAAATTTCGTTCATATCCAACTTCAACCAGTTTACACTGTCACCCTACTATCTTTCATTCTTTAAGTTGTAAACTGAAAAAAAGGGTTAAGTAATGATTACGTAATTGTTTCACTTTGATTCAATATGAGCACGTGAACAAATATTGAGATGATTTAGCAAACTAAGATAAAGTAACTATCTAATGTTCTATATATCTTAATAATTCTCCACCCTGTATCAGTTTATCACGGAAATAATTGTTGTAACTGTGGGAAACTGATACTTGAGATAAGAGAATACTGATCCATACAACAGATAAGAAAGAAGTTTAAAACTGATTCCAGATAAGGATTTTTACTAACTCTTCAACAGCAACAAAAAACAACAACAAGGATAACGACGATTTTAACCAAAATACACTAATTTATGTACAAATAATGATTGGATAATGGACACTAATTAAAAAATGTAATATTGGACATTAGTTATACTGAATGAAGTCATTATTTCTCAGTTTAATCCTATCTTAAATGTACATGTATGTTACAACGCTTAGATTTACTTCATCGAGGCGAATGGGATGTTAATTTACTTCTTTACGCCTGTTACTTCTCAAGGAGGATTATAGATCGACCGCCACCATTCTACATCCAACCCTGTCCTGAACAATCCTTTCCAGCTATTCCTAGTTGTTATTCATCCTTTTCATATCTGCTTCTATTTACCGACATAATGCGTTCTTTGAACTTCCTCTTTTCCACTTACCTTCAGGATTGCAAGTTAGCACATGCCTCATGATGCAGTTTGGTGATTTGCATAATGTATGTCCTATCCACCACTTCCAACGTCTTTTCCTAATGCCTTCTTCATATGGAAGATGGTTTGTTCTCTCCCACAAAAGGCTGTTGCTGATGGTATCTGGCCAACGGATTTTGAGTATCTTGAGTAGACAGCTATTTATAAATACTTGTACATGTTTGATGATTGTTGTGGTAGTCCTCCAAGTTTCAGCTCCTGTAGACAACTATTTCGCTAAAAAAACGTTAATTTAACGTGAACGAATATCTACACTACATACCCTCACAGTGTCTATTCTACAGGAATTCAACACAATTCAGATCAAAAACACATGATTAGCCTGACTAGAACGTAAATATATTTCCAAACCAAAAATCGATAACAATCACAGTAATAGTAAGGATAAGAGAATAGACAATTCATCTAGTACCTATTAGACTATCTAGTAGTTTGATTGACCAAACAACTAATCATTATCATCCTTATCCACATATCAAAGTGTGAATCGAATTATCTGTACTAACAAAACAAATAAACATAGTTTAAACCATTAAAATAGACGACGTGATAGTCAACAAAATAAGATTATGTAAAGCATAAAATAAGTCTGAATATTATGTTATTCATAAGTAAAGATGAATAGTGGCCAGCAGTGGAATCAAGGACACGCGTTTCATCCTATTTGAAACTCGTTACCTGGATGTACATGCATCAGAGAGTTGATGTTCACTACAGGACTCGAACCCGATATCGTCCGTTTTTCAAACGTCATCGCGTTATCCACTTAACTTCTGTGTGTACAGCTAAAGCTTTCAAAGTGTTTTTGAAGTGGTTAGCCATCTCGTGTTCTACGAAAAAAACTTTATTTTAGAATGACAAATTAAAAGTTATCCCTTAAGCAATAATATA